AAGCTGGCTGAAAAACAAACCCCTTGTCACATCATGCACACTGATAGCTTTATCATATGAACTAGGCAAGTATAGTGCAGGACAATAGATCCTGCAGCTAAACAGAACAAACTAAAAATGCTTACTGTAATACGGTGCACAAGGGTCAAAACAACCCATCCCCACACACGGGGTTAGAGCTAACCTGCATGTGGGGGTAAACGGCACCTGGAAAAATAGGTTCCCTTCCTCCCCCCCCCCCCCCCAGTTATAATCCAGATTCTCAATCCTACACCAGCCCTCTGGGGAAATCAGGGGAGAATTGAAGAGGAAATCCTCACCCACCCTGGGTCTGGCTCAGCTACGGGAAGGGAAATCAAACAGATCTTTTGGTAGTGTGTAGCCCAGCCAAGCTAAGGTGGGTGCTAGAAGGCAACCAGTCAGCTCTAGGATTTTTTTTTTTAAATCAACTTTATTAAAAGTAACAAAGGAGGATAAGGTTTTATATACTCAACATAGTATAAAAAGAGATAAAATACAACCCCTAGCACGATTCTAGCCTATAATAAAACAACTGTTTTCCATCCTTGCCTCAGGTAACCCCCCTCATCCAGGACGCCAGCCCGCTGCAAAAAATCCAAACCCTCTTCCTGCCCAAAACCTGGCAGAACCCCTTCTTTTCCTATGTTGGCTCTCAAGGGTGAGGAGGAAGAGTTGAATAGATGCTGGGTTTTTGAATTAGATCAATTATCGGATGATGATTTTTCTTTTATCATGAAATAATGTTAATGTTAAATTCTTGGAAGAAATATATGTTAATTTAACTTGCATGATTGTATTCTTCTGAACTATTTACTTATTATATGGAAATTGATAGCTGGACAGTGGAAATAGATTCTCCATGCCATTCTTATTGCTAGAGAATTCAGTGTTGGAAAGGTACTGATTACTCATAGGATTGAAGAGCTGAGGTTGCTTGTGACTTATGAACAAGTTGCTTAGAAACATAAATTACATATAGATGATTACAATTAAATATAGTCATGTTTTATTGAGATTTCTATGTAGAATTTATAATATATATTATAATATATACCTGCTTCTTATGCATGTATATATAATATATGCATGAGTAGTCCATATATAATGTTTTTCTTTTTCTATTTTTTTTTTGTTCTGTTTAATCAAAGGCAAAAAAAAGTTTTTTTTTTTAACTTCAAATAAATGTGATTGTCATTTAAGTAAAGAAACACTGCACAAATATTTTGACAGGCAGAGAAACCCAGTTTTTGTTTTTCCTGCAGGTTGCTGGAGACTGACAGCAAATCATTGAGATCAGTAAATGGATCAAGAAGAAACAGTGGGTCCTCACTTGTGTCTAGCTCATCAGCTTCTAGCAATCTTAGCCATCTTGAAGAAGATTCCTGGATCCTCTGGGGGAGAATAGTAAATGAATGGGAAGATGTACGCAAAAAGAAAGAGAAACAGATTAAGGTTTGTTGAGTGTTGTTAATTCAATATTTATTAGTTTTAGAAATATTATGCCTCCCACTCTGGCAGTTCAGGACGTCTTTTGGTGTAGCCTGTACTGAACTCAATGAAAACAGATTATATGAAGCATGACTGGAGATGAAGGGATATAGTTTAGCCTTCTCCAACTGGCCTCTTTTGATATATTGGACTTCACCTTCGGTAATCTGCCAGCCAGCATGGCCATTAGTCCTGGAGAGTGGGAATTATGGGATGTGTATTCCAGCATATCTGAGGGCTGTCTGGTTGGGGAAGGCCAACACCACTCAGTTTTTTTTAAAAAAATTATAAAATGGAAGGCTGTGTGTGTAGTTAAATAGTTTCATAGCTACTAAACACTTCAGGTTTCAGAAATAATATATGAAATGAAATCAGTGTTCACTTCTTAATTATCTGTCTGTGGAACTCACAAAAGATTTCCTCAGGGACGATAATAATAATGGTAAGAGGTAATATATGTGTGAGCTTAACCCTGTGAGCAACTGGATTTGGATATTAAAAAAATATAAAGTTTACCAGATTGATCTCTATAAATGGGAGTGGGGGAAAGAAATCCATAGCTGAGTTATACTTTCACTGGAACAACCAAATTTATAACCATCCAAAAGAATGTGCAAGCTTTCAGTTTCTCCAGAACTTTTTTCATCAGTCAAGATGATGTAAAATCAGAGGACGACTAAATGTTAAAACAGTAATCCATACTGTGTGGATGAAATTTATAGCGCAAGTGTAAGAACAACATGATGTTACTGCAGTGCTCCAAATGGAGTTGTAACATTTCTGAAAAATTTGAAGCAATTGGGAGGGTGGAGTTTTGTTTTCTAGGAAAAAAAAAAAATGTTGACAAAAAGTAAAATTGATACAATATTCAGTATTTACATCTTGTATAAATATAGTCACTTGTTTACTTTATGAATGTCTTTATATCACTTGGTTTGCCTATAAAAGTATGTTTGGTGTCAGATAATCATTATACATTTATTGTTTAGGAGAAGGAGGCAAGCAAAAAGTTAATGCTGAAAGTAGAAAAACCATCAAGATAAAGGAAAGTCGTGTATGGTGTACTTTGTCCTTCACTGTGCCAAACAGATGCAGAAAACAATAATTTCAGGGGGGAAAATGAGAAAAACCAAGCCCCCCATTAAAACATCTAATCAGTTTAACTTTTTAAATGTGCACTAGTATCATTAATAGCAGTTTCTGCTTCTGATCCTTTTTATTATTTTCACAGAATTCTGAAAACTGAAGGTTTGCCTGTATTGGGACAACCTTTTACATGTTTATTTCTTGACTTGGTGTATTTCTAAACATGGACGATTTTATTTCATATTATCACTATTTTATGTATAATTTTAAAAAGTACTAGAATTTATTTATGAAATGCCATTTAATAGCTGCAAATTACCAGAAAAAATAGAGTGAAATAGAATAAAAATATGTCTGAAATTGAATTATTAAAACCTGGCTGCATACACTAGGCTTTGTCCTGTTCTTTAAAAAAAAAAAAAAGTTTAAATCAGTGTATTTCAAACTTGGCCACTCTAAGATGTGTGGACCCATGCTGACTGGGGAATTCTGGGAGTTGAAGTCCACACATCTTAAAGTTGCCAAATTTGAAAAACACTGGTTTAAATTCACTACTAAACAAGCCTTCATGGTTAGGCCCTTTGAGACAAGGGAGAATTAAGAGCGCTCCTGTGTAGTGTCTGCCTTATTTAAGAAAGGTAGAAATCTTGAAGGAAGACCTTTAGTAAATGTAGTCAGACAAGCTATGGACGATGTGGTCTGTTTATTAGGTCAGAACTCCCTTTGAAAATAATCTGAAGTGCTTTGGACCTCCTGCTCTATGCTATTCATTAAAGCAGTTCCTTGCTTCTGAATAATTAGCTCTTTTAGAGGGTTGATTCAGTAAGTTATTGCAGCTATCAGAGCAGCTGCACTATTTTTTCTTTCTGTGCAGCAGAAAAATTCTCCAGCTGCTGAGGAATTTAAATGGTCTGTGCATAGGATTACGGTTTTGATTTTGTAATTTTTCATATATGCACAAATATAGTATCTTTGAAATGGAATTCTAAATTGCTGTTGCTCAGTACTGTACTAGGAAGTGTTGGACCTGTAGAGATAACTTGATTGTTGCTGAGATTTCACTGTTCTACAGATAGAGAACTTTCTTTTTTTGTTTTTTTAATCTGTTCAATCGTGTCCAATTCTTGGAGACTGCCTAGACAAGTCTTTGCAGTTTTCTTGGCAAGATTTTTCAGAAGTGGTTTGCCATTGCCTCCTTCCTAGGACAGAGAGAATGCTGGCCCTAGGTCACTCAGCTGACTTTGTGCCTAGTGGGGACTAGAACTCACAGTCTCCTGGTTTCTAGCCTGATGCCTTGACCACGACATCATAGCTAAATGTAGCTTTTGAATTGTATGACAGAAGCTTCATCTGAAAAATGAATCAGGACAAAGTGGGATGGGATCCAAACAAGAACTAAATTTGAAAAAAATCAATTTAAACTTATAATTAATTAAACCTAATACAGTTAAATGATTATTCTCTATACATGTAAAATTTCTCCCTTTCTGTAGTGTTAAAATTTACCTATAAATGGCAAATTTTAGAGGGGAATTAGGGACTGTATCTAGCCCTGGACCTTCAGGTTGTTTATCCCTATTTCATAAAATCCTCCTTGTTCTTCACTATGTGGTTGATAATATTGTTAAGACAACAACAGTAGAAGAATTTTAACTGTAGGTAAGCCATCTGGTTTGCATTTGCCCAGTGATTTTTTTTTTTTATTTTTAGATTACTATGTAGATTTCTATTCTCACCATCTTGTAAAAAGTTAAGAACTTTGCCATAACTTTGAAGTCTGTTTGCTAAATTGTCTACTTTGGGTTAATTCAGCTGTAAAAATAAAGTTCATCAGGATTTTTACATTTTTTTGCTACTTTAGGAACTTGTTCGAAAAGGGATACCACATCACTTCCGAGCAATAGTTTGGCAGCTTTTGTGCACAGCTCAAAATATGCCAATTAAGGATCAATATTCAGAACTCTTGAAAATGACTTCACCTTGTGAAAAGCTCATAAGAAGAGACATTGCTAGAACGTATCCTGAACATGACTTTTTTAAAGAAAAAGATAGCCTTGGGCAGGAGGTTTTATTTAATGTAATGAAGGTAAGTTAGCAATCCAGACCTTTTAATGGATAAGAAAAAAAAGTTTTCTTTAGCCATACAAATTCTATTATTTATACTCATTTGCTTCTGAATACTAGATGCTGGAGGTGGGGAAAAGACTATGACCACCTAATGCCCAACCCTTGCTGATGCGATATGCTAAAGTCTTTCAGCCTTACTTAGGGTTCTTGTTTCAGTGTATATAACTAATAAAGCACAGTGATTTGCCTTGCTTTGCTGTACAATGTGGGTGATAGCTAATGAAAGTATTTATGGGACATTAACTTATAGGACCTCCTTAAACTTCACTAAAAAAGAGCTAGTACTTGTTTTAGATCAGGAGTGCAAAAGGTGTGGCCTGGAGTGTCACGTGGCTCATGGATATCCCTTTTGCATTGCCAAGTCTCTTCCATAACAAGTGGGGCCACACTTTTGTTCCCTTTTTGTATTTTTTGGAGTTTGGAGTAGTTTAAGGGGCAAAATGGCTTTCTTAATTATTAATTATTTCTTTGTTATTAAATTTATAAGCTGTCCAACTCCATTATAACTCTAGGTGGTGTATGATAACACAAAATTTAAAACAAAATCCACACAATGCAAACTGCAAAAAGAACAGAGAAAACAACAACCATCTCACAAACAGACAACCCACAAGTGGCCTGCCATCCACTCTAGCCAAAGACCTGGAAAAAGAGGCAGGTCTTAAGGGCTCATCTAAGTAAAGTCAGGGTGCAGGATGTACAAATCTCTAGGGAGATGTCATTCTGGAGGGCAGGCTCTATGATAGAGAAGGCTCGCTTCCTGGGTCCCATCAGATGGCCTTGCTTAATTGATGGAAGCTGGAGCATGCTGACACTAATGGATTATATAGGATGGGCAGCAACTATGGAATACAGGGGATCTCTGAAGTAACTAGACTATATACCATTAAGAGCTTTATAGGTGATAACCAGCACATTGATTTGCACTTAGAAGACTAGTAGTAACCAGTGCATGTCCTAGGACAGAGGTGTTACATGAGCATATTGAGGCCCATCATAACTACACATGCCACTTCATTCTGGATTAGCCACAGCTTCCAATGGTCTTCAAGGGCAGCCTCCTGTAAAGTGTATTGCAGTAGTCCAAATGCGAGATGACCAAAGCATAGTGACTACCTTAAGGGTCTCCCTTATGGGCTCAACTGGCAATCTAAACAATTCTTTGCTAAAACCTTCCTGGCTCCTCAAATAGGAGCTGTAGCCCAAGAAGACCCCCAAATGTCACACCAATCTCAGTGGGGGCAGTGTAACCCCATTCAGAACTGAAGATAGAGCATTTCCAGATCCAGATGGTCCAAATATCCATAGCTGTAATCTTAATAATTTGTGTAAACTTACATAATCTTAAGGTTTACAGATGCTTAAAGCAATCTTTTAACCATTTAATGTTTCTGGGTCCCCCTCAGAAATAGGTCCTTGCCCCATCTACTTTATGATTGCAGCCCTCAAAGTTATGGAAGTTGTACTCCCCTACTTTGGTAAACTTTCCCCAGATAGCGTTCTCCAGACTTGTTGGATTTCAGCTGTATTTGTTTTGTGGATCTGAAAATGCTGCAGAATTCATGATTTTCTAACCTGCTTTGTGTATAGCTCATATGTGAGAAAGACACTTCCATCCATAAGCGAAATACTGTAATAGAAATGTGAAGTGACCTTTAGGAAATACAAAAGGCTTCACAGTTTCAGTTAAAACCTTTGATATTGGGGGAAGAATTAACTGTTGTTGAAAGGTAGGCACATCTGCTGTAGATACCTAAGACAACCAAGGCAATAAACTATCAACTGCCATTGATTTTATTCTCTGTAATTGCATTGAAACATTTATTGCTGACTGTGGTTTCCTTTTGAATAGTATGTCAGAGGATGGTAGCTAAGTCTTATGTAGCAAATTGGAGGTTTTGGAATTATATGTATAACTGAAACACTTTCCTTTCTTACATTGTATCTGCTGGCTAATATAAAGTTAACTGAAGGAGAAACCCATCTATTTTAGAGAAAATAAATTGGATTATAACTCTCAAAGATAATGACTGCAATGTAGGAAGCTGATTTTTGACCAAACTAGCTTAGTATTATTAAACTTGCATTGAATGCCAGTGACCTTACAGTCACATGCAAGCAAGCCATGTTCTATACTGTTGTCTTTTTTCTGATATATTGGGAATAATGATGCTTGGGATCCTAATTAGTTATGGTGCTTGTCATGGAATATGGAAATATTACTGCATTTTATTAAATAAATTTTGAAAGTTATTAAAATTAATTTCATTATGTAAACATTCTTCAAAACATAAACTTGTAGAATAATTTACTATTATCATATTACCCATTATCTGCATAAAACTATAACTGGTTATTCACATCATACTAAGTTTTAATGTGTTTTGTTTTGTTTTGGCTTAATATCATGTGTCAAGCCAGCAGTTATGTAGACTGTATAAATTAGACCTCCATAGTAGTAATCAAATTAATTGCTTACGGTACATGAATCCTGAGACCAGAAGATTGAATGGAAATAATACTTTTTATATAATTGGGTTAACTGCATCTATTAAACTAGAAATCATGCTCATTTACTTTTAAAAGTTCTAACATACTCTTTTTATCATGAATTTATTTCAAGGGAAGTTTTCAACTGAATAATTTTGCTGAAATGCTAACATTCTCAGTGGTAGAACACACAGTTTGTTAAAACATGATAGTTTTGCATTTGTGATTATAGTATTTGAAGCTGTCTTTGAAAACTCCAGGTTTATGTATGAGTTGATCATGCATTATATTTTCTGTATGAATTGAAGATGGGTTCTCTGTCAACAAATCATCAATTGATAGTTTTTTCCAAAAAAAGATAGAAACACAAAAGTATTAATGCAAATGTGTTGATGGAAGGCAGTATTCCAGAGAGATATTAATAGTAATCCAGAGAGAACTTGCAAAGTTTAATCGTGGCATTGAAGGACTTAGGACATTTAAAGTACTTTACTTGAGACTCTTGCCTGTAAAGCTCAAATTATCTTTTTTATATTCTGCTGTACAGGCTGTGTAAACCTCATGCTAATTCTGAATAAGCTTAGTCTTTAATGGGGGTTGTTTTCAATTTGGGCAAGGGCAGTAGAAAGTGTCAAGAAATGTGGATTGCCAGATTTGGATGTGACAGTAAATAATTGAACTTTTAAAAGCAGCCCTTTTCCATTGAACTCCATCCTGATTGATAGGTAGTACATTCCTATACAATTTTGTTCAGAACTAAGGTCACTGAGATCAATTGGATTGACTCCTTGGTAAGTGGGCATATAATTGCAGCCCAGCTCAGAGATTTTTTTTTTCTTTATTGAGCAAATGAGCAGCTGTATTTTAATTTAATTTTTTTTAAAAGTTCTATATATCTCCTTCCCTGTTAAAAATCCCCTTGTTCAGCTACTACTCATACTCATCCAAGATCAAAAACCTTTTTAACTGAGGCCTGAAAATTGTTAGTGAATATTTGAAAGCTCCCAACTGGACCTCAGGTTTTTTGCTAGACTAAATGAAAGTTAATCACATCCTTGTCATTACACTATACTGGAGTGTGGAACCTTTTGAGGGTGAGGGCCGCATTTAAATTCTGAGGTGGATGCCAGAAATTGCACTCCAAGTGAATGGAACTAGGACAGAAATCTATTTTACTAACACTGAAATTGCATGAAAGTTGAATATAATTAATGTGGTTATTCTTTGTCGTGTTCCTGTAATTTGTCTTTTCTGTCAAATTAAAGATTGCAATTTGCCATCAATTTATGCAGAGGTCTGGGGGCTATTTTCAGTGGCGACTAGGTTGCATATTTCTGCTCTCTATTATTTCCCCATCATTAAGTAGGTATTGAGGTACATTTTAAGAAACAGCAAGAGGCATAAGCTTTGTTTTCTCTCTTCTTTCTGTCCTGTCATACAAACTGCACATAGCTCATTTGTCCTTATTTCATACTAACTCCATTAACAGAATCAGAGAGATAATTGAGCAGATTTCCAGGCTCTTCTGCCACTGACTTGTTTCCTCATTCCTTGCATGCTGCCTCTTCCAACCTTTATAGCCACCTGTTTCTGCCAGGTCTCCTTTAGAAGCTTAAATCATTTCCTTACCACCTTCTGTTGCTTTGCACACTTTCCCTGGTTGACTTGATCTTGAATTCTTCTCAGATACCCAATAAAGTTTTAATCCATTTCTCTTTTAGCAGTTCTGTACAACTGTTCTTTCTACAGTACTTCTAGGATGTTTTTGTCTTGCAGCCAGTTGTAAGAAAGGAACAGCTTTTAGTAGCTGGTACACATTGTAGTGTGTAGATATAGGCAAGTTAATTGGTTTACATTAAATTCTGTAGCTCAAATAACTGGGTTCCATAGTGATAGATATTAGTGCCAAACAATTTCCATTATTTCTTTTAACCATAACTGGTAAAGACATTAAAACCCTTCACTGATTGAAAAATTTATTCAGCTGTGTTGTTGGCTTTCAGATGTCAGCTGCCACTGAGCATACATGCACAATATATCTATTTATCTATCTATATCTATCAGCAGTAAGAATTGGAAACATGTTTTTAAAATAAGGAAACCTGGCGTGCATAGGTAGCTGAACATGACTGTTTCCATTTTCTGTGTCTTGGTGGCATTGCACCTTCACCCCTGGATATAGAAGGTATTAGTTATTTGGGAAAGCCAATGTGGGTATTCATTATTCTTTCTAAACTTTAACTTCTTATTAATGTTTTCAAGGCATATTCTTTAGTGGATCGTGAGGTTGGTTATTGCCAAGGAAGTGCTTTTATTGTTGGACTACTCCTTATGCAGGTAGGAAAGAGCACTCTACTGCAAAAGTTATCTTGAAATTCTACTATTTCATTTAAAGGATTCATAAAGTAATAATAAAAGGAGGTGCAATATTTACAAATTAGAACTCCCTCATATTGTGGGATGTCATAATTTATCACAGATGTATGTGTTTTTCAAATCACACTCTTAAGTTGTTGGCAGTGAGCCAAGGTTTGAGGGCCTTGTTCATTTCACTTCTAGAGATGGACTGTAAATGCAGGTAACTATATATTGGCCCCTTGCATACTAAAAGGGAGAAATCCCAGTTACATCTGACTTTTTTTCTTGTACAGAATTGTTCTAGAATATAGAAATAACTCTTCTATGAGAGAAGATTTCTAGAGAATGTTAACACCTTGCAGCAAGGCATGTAAAATCTCATTCACAAAAATACTAAACCATCCTATGGTTTGGCATTTGAGCTTAGCAAGAAACAGTGGGTGAAATAATCGATTGTGGTTTGTAAACCAAGGGTTTTTTCCCATCAACATGACATCATAGATCGCACTGCTTCCAGCAGTGTTTTATATGAGTACTGTGTTAGGTAATAGTAGAGAAACTTATTTCAGTGTTTTTTATTGCCCAGAAATTATTAGTGTTGGGAATTTAATGTAGAAAGACCCAGGATCATATGTTAATCACATAACATATTTACCCAAATTGGGAGAGCAAAGAGGAGACTTTTGAGCATTATTTGCTTCTTTTACATAGGGAGGTTGTGAGGACTTGAGAGTACCAGCAGTTCTCTTTTTTCACTCCTTTAGATACTACAATACTTACTGCTGCAGTTTAACACATCTTGGCAGGTGTAATTTTTGCAGATCATCTCTTGAATTACACCTGTAATTAAGTGGTGTTGAAAACTTCTTGTGAACTTTTGAAGTGCTTGTAACTAAGAATTCTAAGCTGTGATTGTAATCTCCTTCAAAATAGATGCCAGAGGAGGAAGCATTTTGTGTGTTTGTTAAATTAATGCAAGATTATCGACTTCGAGAACTCTTCAAACCAAGTATGGCTGAGCTAGGCCTTTGTATGTATCAGTTTGAATCCATGATACAGGTACATTAAAGATCTGTTAATCCATTGTGTAGTTAATCTGGGGTATTTTTAAGCAGATTAGAAAAGCTAAGTGAATAAACATTAATTAATTGCAAAAAGGATCCAGTGGTTGCAGAAAAATGCCCAAAGCATAGAATGTAGAAAGCAGTGGTACTGTCATCTGCATTTTTGGAAAACATTGTCTTTGGTATGTTGGGTGTGTTCCCTATATAAAGTGTCTTAATAAGATAACAGTGCTTCACTTCTAGTTATAAAAATGGTGTGATGTACTCTTAAGTAGTCCTTAATGACTTTATGCCAGACATATGATGTCTTCTAGATGGGTTGGACTTCAAATTCAAATCTCTAAAAATGTAAAATATCTTAAAATGTATATTTCAGAAAGGTTACTTGCAAACAGCTGTTTGATTTTTTGTTTTTTTAGGAGCAACTTCCAGAGATCTATATGCATTTCCAGGCCCAGAGTTTCCATACCTCTATGTATGCATCCTCATGGTTCTTAACTATTTTTCTTACATCTTTCCCATTACCAATTGCAACAAGAATATTTGATATATTTATGTCTGAGGTAAGTTATTGTGACTTTCAATTTACATTGATGGCTGTTTAGTTAATATTTTGTGTTTCTTATGTAGCTGAATTCCAATCCCCATTTATAATGGAATCTAGCTGTTATGTTGAAGTTTAGTATTATTTTCCAACGAGTATATCAGTATAAAGCAACTTTAAAAATTCCTTAAATAGTAAACATTACAAATAATTATCTAGAATAAAATACTTATTAGAATAAAATAATTACATTATTCACAGGGTTTAGAGATTGTGTTTCGGGTTGGTGTAGCACTGCTTCAGATGAATCAAGCAGAATTAATGCAACTTGACATGGAAGGGATGTTACAGGTAAGCTAAATGTTATGCCAATGTATTGTATTACTTGACATGTGGGGTATAAATCAGTATTTCTCACTTCTGACTCTATGCTCTAATTTTCTGTCTAGCACTTTCAAAAGGTCGTTCCACATCAGTTTGATGGTGGACCAGACAAGTTAATCCAAATGGCTTACCAAGTCAAATATAATGCAAAAAAGATGAAAAAGTAGGTATTTCTTTTCTTGAAAAATGCTTTCAGTGCTATTATTACAAAGATGTGAATCATTAAATTAGTTATGACATTTACTTCCTTCATAATTATGTGAATTTTATTAAATATGTGTTTCTAGAAAATCAATTTATATGGCAGTAATATTACCAGGAGTTTATTATCATCCCTAGATAGAAAATGTAGGCTATTATAAGATCTCCGGCTTCCCAGATAACAGACTATGATCCCTAACTATTGGCTTATCTGGAGGTAAACCACCATCCTTGCTAGAATGTGTCGAAGTTGCCATATTGGCCTCTTTCTACCTAAATAATGCATTTATCTAGGAAAAAGGAGTATCTTTAGGCTGTTAAAGTCATGTTATTCTTTGAAATCTAAGACATTTTTTCCAATGTTCATCAATTCACCTCCATCCCTATTACCAACCAGATCCTTTTCCACACTCTTCCACATACACAAAAGCCTTTTGTGGGATGGAAAAGGAAATACTGGCTACAACCCCTTCAGTTTTTCTGAAATCTCTGTTGCTGTGGGATTTACTTTCGAGCTAGAGTTTCCTAGGGCAGGAATGCTGAACATGTCAGTATTCAACAACCACCTAGCAGGAAGCAGAGAAGTGAAAAGCAGGTTTCTGTTAAGTTGTGGGAAGCACAGAGCAAGATTCCTTATCAGCAGTGCTATCACTGGGAAGTTTCAGTCTTGTTCAAGGATACTAAGGGAGGGAGTGTGACAGTTACAGATTTATAGTTAAAACCATGTTCCTTAAAAAATTTGTGTGAAGAATATTCAGATGGATTTTTTTGATAGGTGTGTGCTGATCAGGAATTACCACTGCCAAATACTGTTTTCTAATAAATGCTCATACAGTAAAACAGCTGCTTTTGTGATCTTCTCCACCATTGTTTTCGTGTAAAGATTCTGTATCAGTGTCAATATGAAGAAAATATTAGAGAGGAAGGAACTTACCCATAATAGTCAATAATAATGGCATGCACAAAACCATTGCATTCTGAAGGTCCTCCTCAGCTCTTTTGGATGAGATACATTCAGCAGAACCCAAATCCAGAATGATTTGGCTGTTCCAGGTTTCACATGAAACAAAATCTGGATGGGGCAAGTTGGGCAAGGCCTGTGTGCATCAGTCCCTCTCTCCCATCAGCAGATCCCAGAAGGGCATATTCCACCATCTCATCCATCCACCAATTTTCTCAGCACCTTCATTCCCTCTCCTCCATCATAGTCTCTGCTGCTAATGCCTCTATATGGCATATTCTTCTGGCCTACCCATTGTCCTATCTTCTTCTCTTCTCTGTCTCCCCTGCCTCCCCATAGCCATTGATGTCCAATACATTTCCCTTCTCTTTCACCTTCAAAATCACTTCTGAACAGCTTCACTTCAGGCCTGTTTCATTCAGTGTGGAAACTGAAACATCTAAAAGATGCATGTTTCAGTTCAAGCATAAACCATCAAAGGCCAGCTATTCTGTGCACAGAATGGTTTGTATGGATGGAATAATTTGCTATCCCAAAACTCAAGGGAGCTTCGGATCAAGTCAAGGCAGTTTTTGTTTCAGGGGGAGAAAAGGCTCATCTACATAAACAAATAAAAAGAAATTGTGGCCATCTTTTAGACAGGCAGTTAAAATTAATATGAACAATAGTTTGGCATACTGTCTATTCTATTAAGTACAGTTATGCAATATTAAAAAAAAGATGATCATGGCTTTCCATATTCTTCAGGCTAGAAAAAGAATATACTACTATAAAAACAAAGGAAATGGAAGAACAAGTTGAAATTAAGGTAAGTAAATAATTAACTTATGAGCAAGATAATAAGAATTTCAGTTCACTTGTGTAATACGAAATCAGTTTGGGCAGGAAGATTTAAGTTAATAGGATTATTATTACAAAAGATATGTAAAGTATATGCTTTGTTGGGGTTTATTTTACTCATTTTTTTTAATATACACATGTTGTCTGGGTTCCTGTTGTAATTTTTCTTTTTTCGATTATAGCAGGAAATATGCAAGTTAATAGAATTATGCTAATTCAGAAGACAATGGTTTGAGAGTCAGTGTTTTATAACAGTTGGAATATTGGATTTCATTTTGAGGGACTACTTCAAATTCCCTTCTTCCGGGAAGATCACTGAAACTAGTATTCTGTATGATGTGATGTTAAAGGAAAGACTAAGAAAACATTACTTTAAGCCCTTTGGAATAAAGGTGAATGCAGTTGCCATAAATGAATAAACAAGGATTCTAGCAAAAGCAGAATACTCTGTTATCTTTCTATTATATACCTGAGTTTAATGTACCAGTAGGTTTAACGTTTCAAAAGTTAGATTGAATACGTGCACATCTGAATGTATGAGAAAGCAAGCAGCATCCACAATGTTGGTTTCGAGTACTGTACTATCTTTAAAATCTGGCTGTGAGCAATTCTGAATCAAGTTGTAACCTTCCTGGTGATCATTAAAAATAATAACATTTATATGAGCATATGTTATAACACTGCATCATTAGAAAACAGTGAGGTCTGTGATCATCAGAAGCCTCTGTTTTCTCCTTTGAAACACTTTAAGGAAATATTGAGAAGAATCTGGTTTTGGGTCCGACGGCTGTCATACACCTTGCAGTTTACTAAATGGTCCATATTCGTTTTTAAAAATTAACCTCCTTCAGTTTCATAATATAGAAATTATATGATAAATATTTCAGATAACGTTCTTTACAGTTTTGCTTGATTTTCAGAGACTGAGAACAGAAAACAGACTCTTAAAACAGCGAATTGAAACACTAGAAAAAGTAAGTGTCCAAGAAATGGAAGCCTCGGTTGTACTAGTTCCAACCTTTTTATTAATAATAGAGAAGCTGCATGAAGATTAATAATATGGCAATATTCCCGTCTTTGTATTGATGGGCCTTCATAATAAGACTTGATATTTTAAACTATATATACTTGTGATTTGGTATGAAAACCTAAGTGTGGGTGTTACGGAATTCAGCAAGACAGGGAAATTAAAGTATATTTACAATGAACTATAAAGAAAGGTTGGTGTCTCCTTACAGAAATGAAGCCAAGTCAGTTTCCAGTGTGCATTAAGAAAAGACTTCTTAGCATTTGTATAATAGTTCTTCCACCTTAATTTCCCATTTCTTTGGTACTTATGATTAACTGAGAAATTAAGGGGAGATCTGAAATTATAAGGCATTCTGCATAGCTGCTGCCCAGTTTTTCATACTTGAATTACCTTTAGAAAATTTGTTTTAGTTCCAAGCTTATTTATTGAGCAGATCATAAAAATTAAAACACAGGTGCAATTTTGAATTGCAGCCTTTGTCAATTGTTCAGTAAGTCTTTGCTTGAGTTTATGCTTAGATCAGAATGAGGAACCTCATTTCCCCCACATACTGTTGCAAATACATTCATTCCCAGGATTTTAAGAACAGAATAGCCATCTTTATCCTTTTCTATTGAAGAGCTATGAAGAATGGAGTCTCTGTCAAATTCCAAATTAATTATGTCTCTGTCCAAATATAATTATTTTTTTAATAGGCTCATGTAACTGTTTCCCATTTTGCCCTACCCTTTAATTCCTAAATATACTGTAGATGTATAAAGCATGAAATGTAATCATTTTAGAAAATTGGATCCTTTTACATGAGCCATGCTTTTTTCTCCCCTTGGCAGTTAGAGAATCAAATATGTTCCAAAATCAGCATGTTTCACTAATTTTCAGAGGTGGGGGGAGAAGAGTGGAAGTAATAGTGCAGAATCAAGTCCTTAATGAAGAAAAAACAAAACAGGCAGTTGCATGGTGAAGGTGAAACAAGTATTTGAACAGAAATAACTGGCCCTAACATAATTATGGAACACTCAGTGAAGTGCAGGGTAGCAAGGATAACAGTTTTATTTTTAAAAATGAAGTGTTGTATGTATCATTTAAATTCTTTTGGTGCACTGTTGTAAGAAAAAATGAATTAAGATGTACATAGTTGGGCTGTGTCATGCTGGATTTTTGTTCCATATCAGTTCCCTTATTTTAACCTGCTGAAAATATTGCAAATATATTTGTGGTATGAAATATTTACCGATGGGAGGACAATCTGAAAAATCTTACTCTCCTTGGGATTGTGGAAATAGGCTGACTTTTTCCCAGTGGGGAAAGCTATCATTAACAGCTCATATTGGCCTGGTCTTGTATTAAGAACAGCAGCAAGTCTGAGGCACGTGCAAATTGTCAAAAGTATTCTATTTCTTCAGTGTGGCTGCTTTTATAATGCTATTGCCAGTATTGAAACATTTACCTTTTTGCCAGGATTTTATTGTGTTCTTTTTAGTAGGGTAGCTGCAAGAATTAGAAAATCTTTCCTGAATTTCTGCTCTTTGACTAAGCAGAGGGAATCCAGTTTCCTACCAGCAGTGGACATTGGTGATATTTGTCTCCTTTAGCCCAAACAAGACAAGGATATTCTTTATTGTGGTTTTTGCCCTGGTTTTTAAAATAGTGTGAAATGGTTTTCACACATTTGGTCTTCTGTAATATCCAAAAAAATGTGGTTCTCAAATTATATATTCAGTATATGATGGAAATATCTACCTCAGTCTAATCAAGTCTTCTTGCCCCCAGTTCTTAAGGTATGTTCAAAAATGTTAGCAGCAGGCATCATTTGTAGAATAATCAGAGAGTATCTGCTTTTCATCTTGAAATGTTCTTGAATTATTTCAACTGCCATGTTTCTAAATGGTCTCAGATTTGGAAAATCACTTGGCTCTTACAAAGATCAGCCCAAAAGATCTAAGGACTATTCTTCCTTTTGTCCATCATATGTATAAGTTACCATATCATGCTACATTCTTCTAGGCTTTTAGAGACTGGTTATCATTTTAGGAAAGCTTGCAAAGTAATGAATACCTGGTCAGTATAAGAATGAGTGACCATCTTCAAGGATAGACCATGCTATCCTTAGCTTTTAAATATAGGTAGGTAAGGCTCCTTGGGATGTGCTTTGATTCAGGAAGTGTTCCTGAATGATTAGCCAAGTAGCTTTCTTGGGATATTTTTGGTGTATTTTGGTGTTTATCAGTATGACATCATTGAGATCCTTCCTCCTCAGCTGTAGAAAGTTTGTTGCCACTTATAACATGAAACATAACCCATAATTCCTTCTCTGATAGACGTTCAGTGGGAATAGATAGGGTTCCTTTTTTTCCCCTAGTATTTAATCCCAGCTCTTTTTAAAAATTGTTTTTTTTTAAAATAAAAGAGCTAGCAAAAATTTAGCTCTTGACCCAAAAACTTTGTTCTTCCCTAAGATATAGCTATTCCCCATAACGTGAGTCTAGTCCTTTCTTAGTGTGTTCTGAGGAAATATTACTTCTTACTAGTTGTTTCTCTCCTTGATCTCACAAAACAGAATCAGAAAAGATGGAAATTATTTTCTTAAATCATATAACTTTAGAAAAGGATTGAGAGCCCCTTGAATATATTGTCTATAATATAGTTTTTCCCTAAACTGTACAGATCAAGAAGTTTATGTATCTTTAAAAAACCTTGTAATCTGCTAGAACAAACACATTTTCATTTAGCTGTGTCCTTTGCTCCTTGAAGCAAATTTTGCATGTGGATCTGCTGATCTATCTTGTCCTGAGTCACTGGATTTATAAGTGGAAATGTCTGATACATTTGTGGTTAAGGTGGATGTGTCTGGATTGAAAAGTGCCAGAATGATTGGATTGTTTTGAAAGTTCTCTTCATTGCTAAATCTGAGTAAATGATAAACTAGCGAAGTTTGGCTAAAATTAGCCATATTTAATTGGTATACTTTAGCTCTTCATGCTTCACTTTTGCATTACTGGACTCTTATTCCTTAAATACTGCTTAGCACAAATAGTTCTGCCTTCCTTGGGTAGCCAAACTTTTTAAGTATGCTCAGATTATGCCTCCTTTCAGTTTGTAACACTTTGATCAGATAAATTCTGCATGAAACTGCAGAATTCTCTAAGCAAGGAACTGTTGAGCTTTTTTTTCCTTTAAACAAAAATGTAAAAATGTGGAATGTTCTTTTTCAAAATCAATAAACCTGTGCTGCTGAAAGATTTGACTATTGGGAAAATGTATGCTTTAACTTTATTGTTTTTGGAAAGTAGGTAGAATTTGAGCATAATTCTCTGTTTTTGATTCTGTTACTTTGTTTTCCCCTTTCTCTTATTTCTATCTGAATTTTTTTCCTTTTTGTAGGAAAGTGCTTCCTTGGCAGATAGATTGATACAGGTATACTACTTCAGTATTTCAAACTAATTATTTTTCCTACTACCAAAAAAGCCCCCAGCTTTCTGTTTCTAGTGCATGGATAACTACATGCATTTTCATATGAAATGTTTATTGTAGTTAATTGAGCAATTGTTCCATGTTAGAATAATATTTAAACACATGCCTGCATGTTACTTCTAATGACATCCAGGATTCTTAATCATTGGTGGGCTCTCATCTTTTGCCACTAATTCTATAGATCACTACGAACTTGTAACAGATGTGTGCATGCACAATGAAGCAATAAATGCATGAACAGAGTTCAACTGAATGCAAGTACCCAATTGACCTTGCTTAAGGATACTAAACATTTTAAAGTGGTGCAGTACTAAACTGCTTTACTTCACTAAATTGATGTATTGGCTGTAACAGTTCTGTAATGATTTGCAAGATCTTAACCATATGGCAGAATAAATATGTAAAACTCTCGGTCTTCCCTGGATCGATCTTCCAATTGCTTTAAAAAGAAAATTATGTCCTAAGGGACAAGTGACAAGGGCCCAGGAAGCTGAGGAAAACTATCTTACAAAACGGGAGTTGGCCACCATCAAACAGCAGAGTGATGAGGCCATTACTAAACTAGAGCAAGCTGAGAATACCATCAGGGAGCTCCAGCAACAACAGCAATGGGTAAGGCTGATAGCACCTTGATCTCTTATCTTCCTCCTTCACTTATGCTTATTTCTATTGATCATGGCATGGTTTCTGTTCTGTTCTTCCGACTACACTGCATATTATTGAATCTGCATTGAAAAAGGGAAAATGAAATGAGTGAAGAATCCCACGTGAATCTAATTTACTCCAAAGCAAAGCCTATTGATTTTAATGAGCCAACTTCCTAATACATTTGCTTATGATCACATCTGGCATATACAAGCAAATGTCTAAATGTGTAATTACAGGATGCCTACATTCCTCTCTACTTCTACTCACACAGGGTTGTGTGAGCAGATATATAACTTTGACAAATTTTTGTGAAATTTAAAACACTTTGGAGGGATGATAAAAGCATTTTGCTATGCATCGTTATCAGTGTAATGTGCTACAGTTAACATCAACCTGTTAGCTTTTATCAACTTGATCCCCTCCAAATATAATGGACTACAATTTCCAGAATTCCAGCTAGCAATTTTGGGAGTCTGACCCTTCTGGAGGGCACCAATTTGGGTAAGGTTAGAACCTCAATTGTAGAAGCTTTTTTTTAATGTATCAGTTATGTTCCATATGCAAACTTGAATCAAACAAATTTTAGAAAAAAAAAATTGTTGTTTTGTATCTGAATTTATAGAGGATAATTTTACTGTGTCTGTACTCTTTCAAAAACATTGGTAGATGTTTTCCAAACTAGAATTTGGAAATTATTTCAGCTGAACTATGCAGAAAGTAACATTGAAACCCTACTAAACTTATTTTATTTGTTCATTATCAAATAAGCTTAGCTGATACTAAGAAGTATCTGATAGTCTGTTAACTTCTGTTGATAAAGTTGTGAAGAAGAAGAATAGTGTAGGGTTATGAAAGCAGAAGGAAAACAACATCTCCATAAGGCAAGGATGTCTTTATTAGGGTTAGGTTGTAGCAGAACTAATGACAAAGACAGGCTTGACTGGAATCTTAGGGATTCTGTGGAACAGATGGGTGATTAGCTCACGTGTGAAAGAAAGGGACTCTTGTTTTTTGATTTATATTTATGGAGATTAGCTCTCTGCCATGGTTCATGTCTCCCAACTTGTGGTTGCAAATTGCAGCAGGTAAGGATGGTACATAGCATCAGTAAAGCTAGGGTTGCTGTCTGTTGGCAGCAGCTTGCAAACCCAGAGGGTTGTGATGTGACAGGACTCACAAAGAGAATACAGTTCCCTGGAAATAATTATAGTTATGCATATATAGAAGGCTTTTCCGAATTTATTTCCAATAATAATAAAGTTTTGTTTATAAGCACTTTCAGAATACTTATACTGTAGAATCTGTTACAATTAAACATTATTCGTGCTATTATGATAGTTTGCATTGCAAAATCAATGATTCAGTCTATTATTTAGTAAAAGTGCCTTATTTTTAAAATAAGAATCCTTATAAACAACATCAGTAGCAGGATTAGAAACTTTTTTTAAAAAGTTCAAGCATCTTAGTATATTTTTAGAAGATATATTAATTTTCAATATTTGTTATATAATTTTCTGACCTGTTATAAGTTCAATTCAGAGTGAATGGCTTCTGGAATAAATAGTTTAACACTATCCTGCACAACCAATAATTTAGAAGTTATGTTAAAAAATAGATGCCCACAGTTTTCAATATAATTGTTCTTCTGGTAAAATGTATTCAGCTTAATTTCATACAGCCATTTCATGAATATTTTTTTAACTTATTTTTATTAGTAGACAATTTGTAGAGTATGGGCCATTGGAGTGAAAAATAAGGAATTACAATATATAAATATTCTCTCTTTGAAAGTTAATTTTTAAAAATTATATCAAACAAATAGAAAAATTATATACATAAAATATACATATAACTCTTAATGTAATACTGCATTAAAATTAAAAGGAGAAATTAAATCATAAACAGAACTCCACAAAATTTGAATAAATTGTTCTAGAGGTATATTCTTTGCTCCTTTATTGAAAAAAATGCTAATTTATGTGTTGACAGGATATATTAACAGTCCATTACTGCCATTAGGTGTAGATTTATCATCTCAGTTCTTCTTCCATGAACTGAAAGTCCTCAGTTCTTAATGCATTGATAAATTCTAAATTCGGAAATATAGCCAAGAAGAACATAGGCATCATTGATACACAGGGATTTGTCCAAGATCATATTAACAATCCTGGTCACTCAGCCCAAACTGTAGCAATAAAAGACCAAGTCCTTTAGATTCAAAAGAAATCTTTGTTTTGTGTATATTAGACACCTCAAAGAATTGAAATGATGTTCCAATTCTTTGAGGTATCTAATACACACACAACAAAAATTTCTTTTGACTTTAATCATACATATATGATAAGAACAGACCACTTCCACATTCTTTTAATCATCCTTCCACTGATTTACAAGAATAGGACGCTCAAACTTATTCTTCAAAAGTTGCTGAAATAGCTAATAACAAATTCCATCAAATTCCTCCAGCAACTTATAAAAATGGGTTACTTGTGTAGGAACCTTAATTGATTTCTCCAAAACTTCTAACAGATTTGGAACTTCAGAAGCAACATTTATTGAATTATTATTCATTTATAAAGAAGTCCAAGCAATGAATGAACTGCCAAGAAGTCTTCTGAGGAAGATCAAATTTGTTTTTAAGTTCTAGGATAAAAAACCTGATTCCTCAGAACTGATACACTATAGCAATATTTTGAAAGCCTCTCCCCCCCACCTTTATTTTATTAGCTACTTTTAAACTGGGGTTATCAATAATATAAGCTTTTTCATGGGTAAAATTATGGCCAAATATTTTTCGTATGTATCTTGGCAGCACTAAGTGCAGGTATTGGATGGCTGAACAAAATATCAACATTATGTAGAAGATGATGTATCTCATTTGATCTGATCTGAGAAAAAAGACATTTTTTTCTTAAATATAAGCTTAGTGATATCACTTTAAGGGAGAAAACAATATGTCATGATGTTAAATATATAGTTGAACTGAGAGTTGGAAATAAGTCATTTCTATAGCTATGCAAATAAAATGTCAGTTACTGTGATTGATTCTATATCAGAAGGAAATGCAGTTAATTAGAATAATCTATCATTGCCAACCAGAAGGCTGCTTGTTACATGGTTTCTGCTGCTGGTAGTTGTGATGTTTCCCAGATCCTGTGAATTGTGCTACATTCTAATTCCAGTTGATTTGTATTACCTTAAAAGAATTCTGAATTGCTTGGTATGTATGTAGACTCTACGACAGTGTTTCTTAACCTCAGCAACTTTAAGATGTGTGAACTTCAACTCCCAGAATTCCCCCAGCCAGCATGAGACAGTCATCAGATATGAATAATCAAATTGGATACCTTTGGACAAGTTGTTACCTCCTAGAATGATTGGGTTGATAAGGGGATTACAAATCCATTTCAGTTGAGGTGATTAAAAGGGTACAGAAAGGTTTTGGCACTGACTTGGTAGCCATGAAAAATGTGAGAAAAAATGGATAGATGCCACAGGAAGAAACTGTATGCTATATAAAGCATTCCCTATTTTTAAATCAGATGCTGCCTGTACATATTCAGTTCAAGTACTGTGACCTGAAATTTCCTTTCAGTGAAAACTGGTATGGTGAAAAAAATCCAGTTTTGAGAGTCTGTCCACTGTCATTCTGTCTCTTTGTATTGTTTTAAAAGCAAGCTTGTTTTTCTGAGTCTTAGATTTTAGATTGGTTCCTTGCCTTAAGGCCCTCATTTAGAATTTCATATTAGTAATGTTCTAGCTAAGTGTATTTAAACGTTACATGTTGTATTGCTGCCTAAAAGAGGCTAAGATATTATAAAAATTATGTTGGATGCCCTGGAAATATTTTATGTGTTATAATTAATTGTAGATTTTTAAAAAATCTTCCATACCGAATTTAATCAAATTAATTGATGGTTTTTTGTTTTTTTTTTTAAATTCTTTCTGGGTATAATACTAGTTGCTTTAAGTCAGATGCCTTTGGAGGACCCTGTGTTGTCAAAATAATTTTTTTTAACAGTTTTGATAGTGCCCCAAATAAATACAGATAGTCCTCACTTAATGACCATTCATTTAACAATGGTTTGAAGTTATGGGGGAAAAAAGCTGTAAAGCTCAAAAAAAGTGCTTTACAACCTGTAGTCGCACTTATAACCATCACAAACCATCACACCACCCCCCATGGTTGTTAAGTGAATTCTGGCAAAAAAGTCCATTGAGGAAGCTGGATTCATTTAACAACCATGTGATTCGCTTAATGACCATGGCGATTCACTTAATGACCATCATAAAATGGTCGTAAAATTGGGTCCAGTCGCATGGTTTCTCACTTAATAAGCGCCCCATTTAACAAGCAATTTTCTGGTCCCTATTGTAGTTGTTAAGTGAGGGCTACCTGTAACATCAGCTGAGAATAACTAGACATAACTTTCAGATGATTAAACTGAATTTGAATAAGTTGCTCTCAAAAACAGTATACTTGAGCATTTAAATTGAGTATTTGTAACATTAATATTTTAAAAATGTATATCATATTCAATACAAATGGTTCTTAATCTTTGAGAATCTTTTAAAAGCTAGGGCCCTCCTCTGCAGAAAAATGTGCATAATTACACAAAATATTTTATATGATTAATTTTATAGCACAGGAAATTGATTTTCTTCACCTAGGCAGAATATAAAAACAATCTTCACAAACAAGTTTCTCTCCTCTCATTTTTAATGCAAAAATTAATGGCCAGTTCCTTAAAACATTGAAATAAATTCAAATTGCACAAATAAAAAGTAAACTTTAATTGTGCTCAAAAATAAATTTCAGTGAGAAACTGCTCATTGTTTTTTGGGTTGAATAAGAAATTGAAATTGTGGAGTTTCACAGACTCCCCAAAAGTCCCATGGGATCCATAGACCATAAGTTGAGAAGCCCTGCTCTATATATGCATCAAATGTGTTTTCAGAAAGTTAATGTACTATTTTAGAGGCTTGGGGAAATTCCCTCTTCCCTTCCATATTTCATTTAGAAAGCTTAAATTTTTAGAGAAGGGAGTTTCAGTTTTCCAGAGTTAAGTTTATGCCATAATGTTTATCTTCTTTCTCAGGTTGATGAATCACAGGTTTTGCCTATTAGGAAACTTGTCATCAGGGATCAGCTTCACCAGTATATTTAACACCCCTTGTAAGTTGGAGAATGCTAAGGTCCAATTAATTTTATTCTGGAGGACCCTTTTACTATGGGAGTCCCAACTGGAAGAGTATTTAAAACCTTGGACTGCATATACTAGTTTATATGTTTAATGTCCTATTCCTGTTGTTACCTGATTTAAATGTTAAAACATGGTACAGGTATTCCCCACTTTAAGAACGAGTTCCATTCCCAAGGTCTGTCCTTAAGTCGAATTTGTATGTAAGCTGGAACAGTATTATTGTACAATACTGTACAAGTATTTTGTAGTTAACTTGAACCATTGTGTATTTAACTTGAATCGCTGTGTATTTAACTTGAATTTTGCTATAATAGGCTCCGTTCTTAACAATGGGTCATCCTTAAACCGGGCATTCTTAACCCGGGGACTACCTGTAATACTTGACATGATGTAATTGATCGGCATATGAATGCTGTGAGTTTTCAGGAAAGTTCTTTTTCTTCTTTTCTTTTTGCATATAAAATTAATTAGATACAAACTTATTATTATATGTTTGCTCTCTCTGTGATCTTTAAGTGCAACAAATGATGACACTGCTATGCAGATCATGCTCTGCCTCCGATCTTAAAGAGCAATAAAATGCCAAAGTCTTATCGTTGTTTTCTACTTGTTGCAAAATTGTTGTGAGCCGCCCAGAGTCATTGGGAGTCAGGCAGCATACAAATTTGATAGACAGACAGACAGACAATAGGAGTGGTGGAGAGACTATAGGCAATTCAGCTTTGTAAGACAATACAGTATTGTCATGCCCTTTTTTTAGGTGTGGGAGCGCTAGAATGGTGCATGATATTGCAGAATACAGGTAGTTCCCACAGTCACATGTTCAGAATTCGGGCACTTGGCAATTGGCCCGCATTTATGACTGTGGTGTACACTTCAGCTCCCCCCATCTGCCTATCTTCCCCCCATCTCTGCCCTTTTGGCTGCCCTGCATTCCACTGCCCCCACCTACCCTTGCTGTCCCCAGCGCAACTTTCTCCATCTTCTTCCTCCTGCTGCTGGCCCGAGATCCAGC